GGAGGGGGGAAGGTGTCTTTTAGAAAATTAGAGTAAGTCTGTCTAATCTTCCAAAAAATGTTCTACTCAATTAGGTAAAAGTTCATGGTGGGGTGGAGGTGATGTTTAGAAGAGAAATTCGGCAACTGCTCTTTGGTGTGTGTATTCGGGGAGTGTGTGTATTCGGGCTGTGTGTATGTGTGTGAGTGAAAGAACCTGGAGTGTGTGAAAGGGGTAAGAGTTGAAGGGCCTTACTTAGCTGAGGGACCGTCTTATATTGGAGGCAGGCAGCCTGGGCCTTGGAAAGACCAGAAAGTCTGACCTCTGCAGAGTCAGGCGAAGGCTGTGAGTGAAGTCGGGGCGGGAACAGAGTTGGAAGAAGTGAATAAAAGAAATCTTGGGGTCCGTTGGTTTCCTTGATTCCTGGAGCAAAAAAGTAGGCGAGTGACCACTCCAGGAACTCTTGCCTCCGGGCGCCTGTACACAAAGAGCTGGGGCTGTGTGTCCTGCTCTTGGGGGAGGAGGGTACTGGGCGGAGGGAGCTAACAGGTCTTTATTTCGCTCAGATCCGAACTGGACTCCTTCCGACTCCACGCGGCCCCAGCTCCTGAACCAGCGCAGTGAACCGCAGCCGCTTCTCAGCCTGGGTCTCTTGAACCCTCGGAGAAAATTTCTCCTCGAGATGGATTTCAGCGGTAGGGAAGAGGGGCCAGTGACGCGAGGAGCAAGAAAAGAGAAACATGGGAGACGAATGTTCAAACCCACATCTCCTCGCTAAGCCTGGAAGCTCGCCACAGTGGGATCATGGGACCCCGAGGGAAGAGGCTGAGAATCAGTACGGCACCCGCGTTCCTCGGGTTTTAAAAGCACATCTGGGGCCAGAGACTGCATAGCCAACTAAACGGAGTAAACGCGACAGGTGGAGGAGGCAGAGTTGTCAGGGGCCAAGTCCCGCGCGATCTGGCCAGAGTCTTGGGGAGCGCGGACCTGGGACTGCAGAGAGGCGTTTTGAAGCGTGCTGCGCGCACCTGCCTCTCGGAGATATTCGACTCCACCCGGGCGTCTCCTGAGAGCCCGCAGTCCACAGACCCCGGGAGGGCTGCCTGCCCTAGGACACGTCCTCTCTCGACCCCTCACTCTTTCAAAACTGGGGAAGAGGCGGAGGGGATGAAAAAGAAGAAAGAGAGAGAGAATGAAAGAGAGAAAGAAGGAAATAAATTTTAAAAAAATATATTAAAGTGAGGGAAGAATGGAGGGGAAGGCGTGGGCGAGGGAAGAGGGGAGAAACTCTCATCACCACAACCAAAGCAGGATGCCTCAGCTTCCTAAATTTCTACATATGACTTTCATTAAGTTCCTTCCTAGACCTTAAACTTTTTCATCTCCCGTCACCCAAGAAAACACCCGTTTCCTCTTTTAAATAAAGTTTCTTTTTCTGGAGATGAACCTTTAAACAAGTCGTAGGTTTGGGGGCTAGGGACAGGAGAATAATTTTGATCCAGAACCTTGGAGATTGGAGAACCAGGTGGAAAAATTCTAAAAAGATGAAACCTGACCATCTCCGACACAGAAACCCATCGAAAGGGGCCACGGAGACGCGTTGATTAGTTTGGAGGGAGCACGCGGCAGAAGGGCAGACCCCTCGCTAACCCGCCAACCTGTCACAGCCCTCTTGCAGAAAGCTGCCCGGCTCCCCGCCGTGGCCCTGCGCGCGCACCATCCTCGGGGTCTCGCTTCTTGGCCCCGGAAAACTCTGTGAGGGTCACCCCAGCCCCAGCCTGGCCAAGAGTTAAGACAAGTAGCCCCAAGAGGAAGGAGCCTCGGAGAGTCTTCCTGTTCTTCTTCGTCTTCTTTTTTTCTGAACGAAATCTAATACTACCTGGCTGCAAAAATATATTGTCACCGGCTCTGAGCCTAAGAGATTAACATTTGGATATGTAGGAAATGTAATCTGCATGGCTAATTGATTCTCAGCGTATCAGTTTAAAGGATAAAGATCGATATCTACATGATGGATATTGTATTAATAGGGGCATAAATAAAGGCCGAAGAGTCGTTACCAAAACCTTTGAAGCCACTTTTCGGCTCTCGGGCCCTGCACGCGGCCACTGGGTCTCTCCCACCTCCCTGCCCCCAGCTCCTTCTGGGCAGGGAGCACTTGCTTCCCCCTCCAACCCGGGACCAGGAGGAGTCTACGGTTAAAGCGAAAGTGTGTTTCACGGCGGCAACGCTAGAGAGAGGAGACTTTTTTTACCTGGGCTGCAGCAGGTGAACAGTAAAGCCCGAGAAAAGGTAGTATTTTAACAAAACGCACCATTCCCAGATATTTAGAAACACACATATACGACCCATACAGGGACACAAACAGCCACACATGTACACACACACACACACACAATCACGCAGGGCGGGGAGGGTTCTCAGCGTTCCCCGAGCGCCCTTTAGCCTTTGAGACACGGAATAAATGCTTCTTTCCATCCCTCGGCCCCCTCCCAGGTGGGAAGCGACGGAAGCCCTGGCTGAGCCCAAGGATCGGCGATCTGGGCTCCTGGAGGTACCCTCTAGATGGAGAAGGATCAGGAAGCTCTGCGGGAAACGTGCGGGGCTAGGGGGCGGGGGTGCCGCCAATGTCCGCAGAAGGCAAGGAGACCCATTCGAGGAGGGGTGAATGCAGACAGAGTTGAGTGGGGCCCTGAGCCCCAGGGAGTGCGGCTCGGTAGACCTCGGGGCGAGGGGAACAGGATGGGGGTACACTTGATCCGGAACAAGAACGCATCGGCCGGGCGGTTGCCAATTAGTCCAGGGTCCCAGCGGCCGCTTCACCACGGAGCCCGAGTCGCCGAGGGAATTTTCCAAATGCAAATCAAACACCCTTAGAACCCCCTCCTTCATTAATTAAGAGGAACGTTTCCACAAAACCGGCATAATCTTTATTAATTACGCAGCCCTTAGCTCGCCGTTCGCATCAATCACGCCCAAAGCGAAAGTGCAGGGGGCGCCTAATCCCTTCCCAGAGCGCGTTTGGAGAAGCAGCAGCGTGGCGGGCGTTTCCACTGTGACTTCCACCTTTCTGGGCTCGCCTGGCGCTGGCTGCTCACCCGGCGCGCAGGGAGGCCTTTCCGGAAACACGGGCTGGTTGCGCGCTAGCAGGACCGCTCTAGATCCCTGGACAGGCCGGGAAATGCCTCCCACTCACTATTTGGGCACGCGTTCAGAAACTCTCACAGGGACTCGCGAGGACACTTCATGGCCCATTTCCTCCGTCCCCTCACCCCCAGGCTCAGTGGGGACCACGCGGTTCTCAGTCCTCCTCTTCCCTAGGACCCTCTGAAAAGGAGCCTGGGGCGAAGCGACAGGGGGAGGCAGAAAGCCTCCTGTTGCCCCAGGACGCCCCGAAAAACTACTCTGGGGGATGGCGCGGGGAAGACCTTAGAAGTCGTCCGGGCGACCAACTCCTCCCAGGTGACTAGGTTGCTGTACGACCAGCACACTGCTCAGGAGTGAGTTCTGGGGAGAGAGAGGGATCCTCCAATTATTGGCAGAGAGAACCGGGAAAGCTCGCAGCCTCCGGGTCGCAAGTGGGAAAGCTGGCTGGAGATTGGGGTTAGAGGGGGTGGGTGCAAACTCAGGTTATTTCCGGGCAGCCCCGCAGCAGTCTCGTCCTCTGAAGGCAGGGACCCTGGGCTTTCACGGGAGAACGCCTTGGGGCGGGGTGTCCTGTGTGACCACCTCTCTCAGCAAAGCAGGGTTTGGCCTCTTGGCCTGACCTTGCTCCCTAGTCCCACCCTATACTAGTAGGTCCTAACCTTTCTGCGCTTTGAGCCTGGACCGTCGTCCCTTCAAGAGATTCTGCTGGATAAAGAAAAATTATAAAAGCTGCATCAAGCTTGGCGTCGGAGGTCTGGCCTTCAGCTGGTCCCCACCCTAACGGACTGGCCTGCCCACCCTCGCGTCCTCGGGCGCCCTTGGCTCGAGGGCCTTTCGGAGCCTCCCCGGGAAGCAGAAAGTCGCACCGCACACTGAGCCCTTCCTTCGAGCGCGCTGCCGGGAGCTACTGAGCCCTAGCACGCAGCCTTGGGCACCCGGTGGCCTGCGAAGGAACCTACCCCACTGCGCTGCTTGGGCCGCACTAGCGGAGACGAGAGTGCGTGCGGCAGTGGCCCGCGAGCACCACCCGCCAGAGTTTAGCAGCGCCTGGAGCACCGCCCTCTTCCTTGCTGTTTCCTTCGTGCTGGGCACACTCCGGTGTCCGCATTCTCACATTCAATCATTCATTCTCCCTCTGAAAGTTCTCAGGCTCCTTTGATCACGGGTCATCTCCTGGACCTGAGGCACCTGCGAACCTTGCAGGTCACCAGATTATTTGATTGTCCCCCTCTTCTCCCACTGAATCGTTGGCCCGGCTAGTCTTCCAGCTTCTGGAGTCGATCGCATTCTGGCACCCTTGGCCTTTCATTTATTCCACATATACTTATTGAGCTTCTACTATGTGCCTTTCCTAGTGCTGGCGCCACAGCAACGAAACAGACCAAAGTCTTTGCCCTGGGAGAGCTGATGGTCTAGAAAACAGCAATACACACACACACACACACACACACACACACACACACACATATATATATGCACCCTGCCAGGAGATTGGTTGTAAGACTGAAGCTCAGCTCAGGAGAAGTTTGAAGGACCAAGGGTGGGGTAGTGAGTGAACGGGTATGAAAAGCTGGGATGCAGTTGATATTTCAGCAGGAGAGGTCTGGGAAGGCTGTAGCTCCCTGCAGAGAAGGGAGAGGAGGAAGGAGTGTTGGCTGAAGGAAAGGCAAGGATAAAGGAAAGTGATGAAACCATGTAGTCCACAACACTTTAGTGAATGCCTACTGTGCTGTGGTAGGCTGAGGTCCTGTAAAACTCCTGGCAGGGCCTGGGCTTCCAAACCTGCAGATATGCTTCCCTCCGAAAGAGGTAGTGCTTGCCTTCTCTAGGGGCCCAGCATCTCTCTAGATGTTTCCCATTGTCTTCTTTGGAAAGATATTTCAAAATGGCTGTGGGAGGCTGGGTGACAGGAGGACTGAACCTTCTGATTGAGTGACTGAGGCTGCCTTTAGCTCTGTCCCTCGAACCACCTCCAGGGTTAGGGTAGCTGTCACCATTGACATGCCAGAGGTATGGGACTCCTCCCTTCCAGTGATCGTGGCTCAAAAATCCAAGATGGACCTGGGCCTCTTCATCTAACTCCTGTCTGCTGAAAATTGCATTTTTATTTGATAGAAAATGATAGCACACCTTCTTGGTGTCCACATCACCACTCTATAGAACCTGTCACTCCCATTTCCCATACAGAAGGAAACTCCCTCCAAGGCAGAGAAGATGTTGGCAAAGCTAGGAGTGCCCTGCTCCACATCGTGGGGGCAAGTCTGTATTTTCCTCCTGGGTGATTCAGAAGAGCTACTACCACTTTGGCAGTGGGAGGGGTATGGAAGACCCCTCTTTCCAGATAATCCAGAGGAGCCCAAGACCCTAAAGAGCCAGTCATCATTCCTTGGCTGGTATTTCTGTGAGATAAATGGAAAATAAACCAGCAGGAAGAATTCAGGAGGAAATACTTTCACAAAGTTTCATAAGTTATTACAAAGTCTTTGAACACATCTTTGAAAGCTTAAGAAGTTTGGGACCAAGGAATGCAACAGATGAAGTGGAGGCAACAGCTTGTGGCCCTGCGGTAAAGGCTTGAAAAGAGACCACGAATTTTCTTTTCTTTCTTTCTTTCTTTCTTTCTTTCTTTCTTTCTTTCTTTCTTTCTTTCTTTCTCCTTCTTTCTTTCCTTCTTTCGTTCTTTCTGTCTTTCTTTCTCTTTCTTTCTCTTTCCTTCTTTCTTTTTTTTCTAGTTCTTCTTGTTGTTGTTCTTCTTCTACTACTTCTCCTTGCTCTCTCTCTCTCTCCCTCTTTCCCTCTCTCTTTCTCTCTTCCCACTGCCTTTCTTTCTTGAGATGGAGCCTCAAGGCTGCTCTTGAACTCTTGGTCTCAAGCCATTCTCCCACCTTGGACTCCCAAAGCCACTGTGAACACTACAGATTTCTCAGAGCAATATGCAGAAGTGCTACACAGTCAAAGAGAGCAGTTCTTAACACAAGAACCACTGATAAAGTAAAACCTACCAATAAACAACTTAGAGCTGCTCATCAGGGAAGTAAACAGAAACATGTACCGGTGGAAGAGGTGAGAAGGTCCATTGTTGAAAGGGAATCTTTGTGGCATCTCCAAACCTAATCTTCATATCTCCAAAGCAATCCATAGAGGTCCTCAGAAAGACCAGGCACCCCTGTCATAATGGGGACATGAGAATCATGCCTGTAACAGAAGATCATTTCTGGTCTCTCAGTACAAGGTCACATGATGGGGGCTTTGCTCCAGTCTTCTGCTTGGTGAAGTAGTTTGACTTTTAGAAGAGCAAACTGTGTGGGTTTCACTGGAGGAGAATGGCACAGGAGGGCAGGAGCCAGACCACGGGACATTCAAAAGCAGGGTGGCAGGAAAAATCAGAGAAGCTTTCCAAGCTCAAAAAGCAGGAAAGTCCTAGGAATGGATAATATTAGAGACAGAAAAAAGGAAAAACGCCTGGAAAAAGAGAGGGTTGCTCCAAACTGAAAAGAACCATGGAGGAAGAGAGAGAAATAGAGGGAGGCATCAAATATCAGAATAGAATTACTAAGATATATCTGATAAAATGAATCCTAACTGATGTTCTGCATGGAATCCAGGTGATATATCACCTTAGGCAACAATGAATGATCGTTTCCAATTTGAAGGGCACATTTGCACTGGGAGAACTGATCTGCATTCGCAATTCACTCTTCCATAATACGGGAGATTCTTGTATATTTGGGGGCAGCAGAATATAGGTGGTTGAGATAGGGAAAAAGATATTAGAAAGGAAAATGCAATATTTATGATCCTATCATGGGCTAGACAAATTACATATACCCTTACTTAGTACTGACTTAAGAAAAATCCTATTTGGTTTGCCCCCAAGGTTTTAAAATAAATCGAGTTTGGACTTTGCCTGCTCAAACTTTGCAAAAGTGCAGCAAGATAAGAGAAACGGTGAAGATAAATAAAACAAATACTTGGAATAAACCCTTTTAAAGTAGAAGTCACTGAAGTGCCAGGATGGGGGGATCAGGGAAGAGGATGCCGCTATGCCCTGCCTAGCATTACAAACTGCTCAGCAATCTTTCACCTGTCTCAGTCTCTGTCCTGGGAATCAGACGACACTCTTCTTGAGATTTCTTGGACATGTTTGGTGTCTTGGGGCTGGCAACATGAGGGCTTGGAGGGCCTGCTGTTTCTTGGTCCTGCTGCCAGGGTTCCCCATCGAAATAATCTGAATAAGGTATCTCAAGAGAACTAAGGAAATCCACATGTGGTGACAACAGTACTTGATAATGGTGAATCATAACAGTATATGTTTATTGAGTGCTTAGTATATAATGGCATTGTTCTCAGTGTGTTACAAAGATTCAACTACTTACTGCTCAAATCAGTTAGGTTATATCTAGTTAAAATGAAAAAAGGAGGTACACAGAGGTTAATTAACTTGCCTAAATTCACACAGCTAAGCCGCCGCTGTGTTAGGGTTTAAATCAGAACAAGGTTATGTTGCCAGTCCTGATCCGTTAGAAGGTACTGGTTTTCAACTACTTTGATCAGCCCCGGAAAGCATGAGGTCTGGAAGCTACCTAAATACTTCATCTTTTTTTTTTTTTTTTTGGTTGACAGAGTCTCGCTCAGTCGCCCAGGCTGAAGTGCGGTGGCGCGATCTCGGCTCACTGCAAGCTCCGCCTCCCGGGTTTACGCCATTCTCCTGCCTCAGCCTCCCGAGTAGCTGGGACTACAGGCGCCGCCACCTCGCCCGGCTAATTTTTTGTTTAGTAGAGACGGGGTTTCACCGTGTTAGCCAGGATGGTCTCGATCTCCTGACCTCGTGATCTGCCCACCTTGGCCTCCCAAAGTGCTGGGATAACAGGCGTGAGCCACCGCGCCCGGCCAATACTTCATCTTTCATTGTTTGCCTTGTTCTGTTAGTAAGTAAATGTCAACAAAAGTTACCTTTAATGCCTTCAGGAGACACCAAAGTAACTTATCTCAACTGAAAATAATTTAGAAATTTACTTCACCTCATTTCCCTTTTAAAATACGTCCAATAATCCCACTTTAAAGTGCTTGCTTATATGATTGATTGATTGAGACGAGGTCTTGCTTTGTCACCCAGGTTGGAGTGTAGTGGCCAGATCACAGCTCACTGCAGCCTCCAACTCCTGGGCTCAAGCGATCCTCCCGCCTCAGCCTTCCAGGTAGCTGGGACTACAGGCATGTGCCACCATGCCCGGCTAATTTTTGTATTTTTTGTTAGAGACAGGGATCTCGCTGTATTGACTAGGCTGGTCTGGAACTCCTGGCCTCAAAGGACCGTCTGGCCTCGGCCTCCCAAAGTGTTGGGTTTACAGGTGTGAGCCACTGTGCCCTGCCTAAAGTGTTTCTTATTTTAAACAACTTTTTTTTTTTTTTCCTCCCGGGGAAAATTTATTAACCTAATTTCCATGCAGAAAACAACTTGAGACACTTCAGCCTCTTATTCGGTCGGGACAACGGCGGGCGAAAGGTGAAGATACACAGTAAGAATTCCAACCTTCTCGCCTTCCTGTTACAGCCGATCTGCTCTGCATTTGGAATGAGGCGTCTTTGCCGGCGTTCTGAGTCCTTCCTACTCCGCGGCAAGCCCCGCAGCGATCCTCGCCTTCTTCCCGACCGCCAAGTCTGATTATGGAGACATCGTAGAAGGTCTGGGATAAGGACTGTGTCGTTGCGGAGGCCAGGTCTTGGGCTCCTGGGCGTGAGAACGCAGGTTCGGCCCCTGGGGAGAAATTTACAAACGCACCTCTAGACTCCTAAGGTGTTTCCAAGTCCCCCCTCCAACTTTCGTGTCCAGGTCATACTGTCCCGCCCTCGGGTAATGAGACGGTTTGTCAAGATGCTCTTTGCATCTTTGGAAGCCGAGGGGAAATTGGGGACTTTCGGCGGGGAGCAGGTTTTCGGGAGCCGTTCGGGGCTGAGACTCTCGAACCCCTGCTGCCAAAAGCGAAGGAGAAACCTGGGACTAAACGAAGGCGACTCCCCGCAGGGCGCAGGCACCGTACCCGGCGTCTGTTTTTTTCTTAATTTACTTTTTTGGGCACCTCTGCTATTTTTACAAATAAATGCGAACGCGCAGCTTTCGGGCGGGCTCTGGGAGCGGCCCATGGGCATCTAGGAATATTAAAAACGTCATCTGGTTGTAAATAACCTACTCCCCAGCCCCTGAAATCCGGGACGTTACAGGTAAGGCTGAATACCAGGTTCACCCAAAGGCAAACCAAACTCAGCAGGGATGCCGAGTGATGGGGTTGGCAAGATAGTGTGGCCGCTGGTTCCCTCCACGCGTGACAAATGGGCTCATGGCAGCGTCCTTGTGCCTTCGATTTGTCCCCGAGCCCTCCTCTGCCTTTTCGATCTCAAACTCACCTGTAATGGAGCTGGGAACTGGGGCGAACGGGACAGCCTAAAGCGTCGTTGGCCCGACCGAGAGGGGCTCAGCGCCTGGCACCTCGGGAGGCCTTGGGTCCTTTCCAGCCGGAGAGGCTGCAGGGGGCAAGGAAGACCCCGCTAGCCCCAGGGTGCGGGATTCTGCCCCTTCCACCCCCGGTGTCCCAGTGGCAGTGGCTGCCGCGGGCCGCGGTTGCAGAGTGAGCAGGGGCTCCAGTCTTCGGCCCGCGGGCCCTGCCCTTCCCATGAGAGTCCTTGGGCTCAGCTGGAAGCCACCGCTGGCGTGCGCACCCACAAGGAGAGAAAAGGAGGTAACCCCCGCCTCCCACTGACTGCCGGAAGCTCGGCCTCTGTGCACACTCAGTATACCTGCACCTAAGAGAGTGGAATTAATTTACACACTGAATGGCTACTATTAAAAAGGGTCCTTTTAACAACTCTCCTGGCGAGTATTTTAAAAAACGACTCTGCGCTATATCAGCTTGCCCGTCGGCACCTGTCAGCGACCAGCAGACAAGCTGAGATTCCCCTTTCAGCTGTCACTGGCGATGACACCCACATCTATCACTGGCGATGTTTTGTTCATTTAACCTCGAGACTTCCCTGATTATCCACATAATCCGTCCTCAAATCCCCTCGTTGTCACTGCATTTTGATGACTCAGGGGACTTGGAAAGCACCTATTTTGTGGGGGATGGGGAAGCCCACAGAAAAGCCCGCTGATGGGGGAAGGAGCAACCGCCACCCCGCCCACGTGAGAAGAGATCCCAGCAGCCAAATGCGGATGCGAATATTTACTCAACCTTCCTTTGAACGCAAAGGTAACAACAGGAGCGTGTGTGTGTGAGAGGGAGAGAGAGAGAGAGAGAGAGAGAGAGAGAGAGAGAGAGAGAGAAGCAACGTTTAAATAACCCTCCTTTGGTGATTCAAGACCACTTCCAAAATCCAAAATCCAACCATTGCCTCAGGATCTCCCAATCGGTTTCTAAGACATTGCATGTGGTGGTGTTTAGTTCATTAAAGTGAGATTAGGAAGACTTGCCTTTCAGTAACTACGGTAAATATAATGGCTCTCAAATTTGGCTGCACATAGTCTCACTTGGGGTGACTTTAAAAGAATACCGATGCATCTTCTTCTCCGCCGCCGCCCCGACCTATTAAATATGTGTCTCTGGGGGCAGGAACGGTGCTTCTGCAATTTTTTTTAAAGCTCTCCAGGTAATTCTAATGTGCTAATAGGGTTGAGAACCTCCATAAAGCTCACATGGTGGATAAATTTGCTATGTGTGAATTTAATAGGAAATGAGCTTCTAGGGACAAATCATTTGCCTTGCAAAGCTTGGCCCTCCATTTTTTCCAAGTCAAGACTAATTCTCACTGAAAGTTAATTCTTCCCCAAACTCTGCATCAGATAGAATTTGCTCTCTACCTCTCAAATTTGACTACAAAATATTTTTAAAGTCACACAGTAGTGACACAAATGTGTTATTTATATATGATGGAGAATACTGGTTTATGTGCTATGAGATAGCTGAGTGGACCATAGATTACCACAGTTCTTGAAATCGTAGTTGTTGAAATAAAATTGTTCTATTCTTGTAGTAATTAAACACGCTCTCTTCTGTTTATTGTGTGGTATGTTCTGTAAGATTAAAAGCTAAAAGAACTTTTTGCATATTTTCTCCACTCTTTTCCTACTTCAATATTCCCCACTCAACCCCATGGAGGTATGGTATTTCTAAACCAAAGATAATCCAATTTTACATGCAAAGACAACTTAAAAAAAAAAAAAAAAAAGGAAGTGTTCACATTCTTCCTCAGCTCCTAGGAATATTCTTGGAAATTAGGCATTGAACATTCTTACTTCTCCAAGTATATTTTATAATCAGAAATTATTGTGAATTCATCACAGAAACAAACTTGTTTTTCTTTGGCATATTTTAGTCTGCATAAGAGTATAGAAGACTTAGAATCAAAACTGATTGAAGGAAACAATGCTGATATACATTACAAAGCTTATCTTATATGGAAAATCAAAAGAGATCTCTAGCAGAAGATAAATTCAATTTCTTACACTTTCTTCATTCATATAACTTCAAACTAAGATCTGGCTGCAGTCATTTCTAACACTCATTTCAGAAATAGATACTACAGTAAATATTAGCTACTCAAACAAACTTGCACTATAACAAATACAATAAAAAACATATGATTTCAAAGGAAGAAGTGTAATGCACATTCAGCAAGCATGCAGTTCATTGTCCATAATGTGAATTTCATTATCTTTGTATAATAGCAGAAATGTGAAATACAAATATTAGCTAACAGGAATTAAATGATTAAAGAGGGTAAGAGTTGAATCACAGAATAACTGGGGAATTAGTTAGTTATTAAGATCATAGTAACTAGGAAATTGCTTAGTTATTAAGACCATAAAATTAGCAATTCTATGAAGAACGATTTATTAAAATGGCAAAGATTGAATACTTAATAAAACAGGGAGTAACAATAGTAAGAAATTTAATAGATCTTGTTCTCATGTTGGAAATTCCACTGCAATGTGCTTTTTTCCCAGTTATGCAGGTGCTGCTAGCCTTGGAGGCAACAATGTAGACATGTTCACAAAGATACCTTAAAATGTCACACAATGTAGAACTGATTAAAAAATGGAGGCCAAATGTCCTTTAGTTTCTCTAGCAGTTCCTATCACTGAATATAAAATGTAAGAGTTCCACTATTATAGTGTTAATTTTTCTCAAAACTCAAAGTGCTTGACAAAAATATTTTTTTCGCCTTTCAAAAATTCTTATGAAGTAAGGAAGGAAACTGTTTACCTAAGCCTCCCAGGATCTCAGGAGTTATGTAAGTCTGGGAATGTAAGTCTGGGAAACCAGGTCACCTAAGATTCATTCCAGAGTGTCCCTTCAGCAGACTCAACAGAACATTTATCAGTCACTCACTACGTGCCCAGAACTGGTTAAGGCTTTGTGCATCAAATGGATGACCAGATAGACAAAGTTCCTGTTCATGTCTTTACATTCTGGTGGCAGGAGAGTGATGAAAAATGCAACTGATAAGTAAGACTACTGCAAACAGTATAACACGTATTATACAAAGTAAATCTCATTAAGAAAGTAAAACTGGGATAGATATCCACTGGGAATAGAGTTGCCAAGGCAGACCTCTCTGGGGAGGTAATATTAGACACTTGGAGACCTAAATAAAAGCAAGGTCCATATAGGGCTTTAGTTTCCAAATAATTTTCATGAATTTATCCTCTTATGTGTACAAATCTTCACACCAACTCCATGAGGTAGGGGGTGCTGATACTCCCCACCTCTAATTTTATAGATGGGGAACCTGAGACTCAAAAGAGGTTAAATGATTTTTAATGGCCTTTCTGACTAAAGAAAGAACCAATGTTCAGGCTTACACCTCCTGGCTGAAGATGCTGACCCCAAATCCAATGTGCTTTTTAGATGTGTATGTTGTTCACTAAATCATATTGTATTCAGAGGCTGAATGTTTAATTCACCACCTGCATCATGAGTTTCTTTCACCTGAAATGTAGATCCTATGAAAGCATGATGATAAGTCTAACCTGTAGCCCCAGAACCTAGGCATAATGCAGCCCATGGGAACCAGGAATTTCCAATCAGGTACAAAGACCAGACCAGGTCTGGCTTTTTGTAGTGACTCTACTGGTATTTCTCACTCATAAGGTGAAGAGGTGTCCAGGATTAAATCAAGCTTTTCTGAGATGAAGAGATTTGCCACTGGAAGGGAGAAAAATACTCCATTTTCACCAGGAGCCCTCCTGACAACTCACTTGTTATTTCAACAATTACTCCTTAAGCTCCCGCTTTGCCTAAGGTGCTGGTGTGCAGGTCTTTCCATGTGAATATAAATGATTAAATCCAATCTGCTGAATGGAGAGAGGGGAGAGAGACCTGAATGCCAGATAACCACTAGAAACCAGACAGATATTTTCCATGACCATATCCTGCCACTCAGTTCCTGATAACACAATCAGAAATTAGCAATAAAGCATTGGTAAGCCACAGAAAATATCTCTCCATGTTTAGATACTGAGCTGCTAAGTGTGTCTCTTTGACTTAAAAGTATTCTAACTCAAATTTTAATTACATAAAATTTATGCATGTAATTCATAAGAGAAGCAAAATGTGGCTTTTGTTGCCATTGAGGTGATTCAAGAATGTATTTCTCAGTTATGAGGAATCTTTTAGGTTACATTATTGGCATACTTCTCTGGAACACAAATAAACTCTAAGAGGAAACTTGGTGCCCATAATAACTTTAGACAGACTTCCAGGTTGCCAGTTTAGCGCACATAAAAAACTCATGTGTGTGTACACATGTACACATTGTTACAGTCACAAAGCCAAGTTGTTACCAGTATTCACGTATTTTATACACAATATATCTTTAAACAGATACCTAATACATACATATATACATGTGTAGCTGCACTTCTGCAACTCAGTAGTTTTTAGTGCAAACAGAATCTTAGCAATGGAGGTAAATAAAGAATGAATAAAAGGTAAAAATGAGTATAGAAGTAAAACACAAGACATGGGGGTATAAATAAAACTAAGCTCTGAAAAGTGATTTTTAGTAAGAGAAACCTAAAAACATTTCATACAAAGCAAGAACAAAGTCTAACAACAGAGTTTAGTTTTAGTAGAAGTTGTGGTAGTAAATATGTAAGTTACTTCTCTCTTCAGAATACAACAGATCTCACTGGGCCTTCCAGGGTCATTATTCCTAGAAATAATCCCACAAAATGCCCATCTTAGCAAAGCACATTTCAATGTGTGAGTTATTTCTCTCTCAGCCCCATTTAAAAATGTGAAATTTGGATTTAGATGGGGACGTGTATTTAAGGAAGAGAAGTGCCACACAAATAATGGAGCAAGTTTACCATGAAATCAATGTCATAAAAATAGATATTTCTGTAAAGACCTCTTGTTTTTATTATTAAGACAATGCAGACATAAAACACTTCATACTGTAGTTTCTACATTGCAGTCAAACCACTTATCAATGGCCAATAAATTACTTCACTCTTATGATAGATACAAATGCTCGATTCAAGTTCAATTAATAGAATAGTGTCAGGAGATCATGCAGACAGCTTGCATAAATACTTGAGGAATAATAGCATACCTTCAGCAGCTTCTGTGATTTTTAAGCAAGAAAACTTTGTCTTATTCCAAATTTCAAAAGATGGAATAAGGAATGTTTTCATATAAAGTACATTTGGAACAGTTTCCCTTCTTAAGAAAAAGGCATCTAACCCACTTGCAACATACACTGGTAATTCATCTTTGTAGTTACAAAATCAGATAGATATATATTCTTTTTCATCTCATGTGACTGTATGTGAACATTTCAGTGATTCCAACAATATCAAACAGTTAAATTCAAAATCATATAATACTTTCTAATAAATGTATATGATATATATCTTTGTAGTCAAAGGCAGAAAGACCTTCAGTTAGTTGATTTCATCTTTGGGCACTAGTTTATATTTTATCAGATAATTAAAAGTCATTAGTTATTTCACAGTATAAAATATTGAATCAATTACCAACAGGCCTTTATTTTCTGCTCCTAATTTCGAAATGTATTTGGACGCGAGGCATGGGACTAATGTCACCGCTTATCAAACAATTTTCTGGAAATCTTAATGCACAAAAATTTCCGGATTTATACATTCAAAAATAAATTATATCTTAAATGAAATTAAGAAAAAAAGGCGAGGGAAAGGAGAAAATATAGTTTATATTCGCTGTGAATAGCTTTCAATATCTTCCAGGTGGGGGCAACAGTAAGTCACTTTTGAGAGAAGGGAGAACAGGCTCTTTAAGCTCCCTGAGTCCAGTTACAGAAGATGAAATGACTTCCTGGCAGTAACACCGTGAATAAAACAACCACAAGCTTCCAGGAGATGAGACTTCTGGGCTCTGCTCCAGACAACACCCGGCCATGAGCAACAGGGCCCCCCGCCCTGGGCGCACCGCCACCTCCGCCGCTCGGAGTCTGCCCCGAGCGCGCACGCGCGCCGTGCACCTGCCCCATCGCGCCCAGCTGCTGCCCGCGGGTTCTTCCAGCAGCTCCCGGCACGCCAGCGCTGTGCGGGCGGGGAGTGTCCGTCACTCTCAGCGCTCAGGATCTCTCCCTTTCCAGGACCGCTACGAAGCAGGAAACCCTTTTCCTGTCACGTTTACATCCCATTCATTCTTCCTCCGGCCAATTTAAGTCCATTCACAGCCGCCACAGATGCACGTGTGCGCGCGCGCAGCTGCACCTTTAAAGAAACTCTCAAGTCCTGGCAGCCAGAAAACCAGCTTTCGGGCGGGGCGGCGGGGCTCCCCCTCCCCTTGCCTCCTCTCTGAAGATCCTTGTGCTCTAGGGAGGGATGGCCGCACACTCTGACGAGGACGAAGGTGGTGCATAACGCGGAGGTCAGTTTTGCACAGTCCGGGCAAAAGAGACCTCCCACCAGCATCCCCGCCTGTTCAGTTTCCCTCTCTGGCCCAGCGCGAAGGGCGAGGGGCGACAGAAGCCCGAGGAACAGAAAACCGAGTCCCCTCAGTGGCCGAGTTGGGAGAGGGTGTGAGTCCGGGAGAGCCCGAGGGCCGCAGGGAGAGGGCGCAGAAGGTCGAGCGCACAGAGCCAGAGGCCCCCTCTTCTCCCGCCGCGCGGAGCTGGAGGTGCAGACGCCAGGTCCGC